GGACTCATAGTCAGCTTCTAGTGGTCCCGTGGATTCATGGGTAGCTTCTAGTGGTCCCGTAGACTTATGGGCAGCTTTCCCGCCTCACTGAATACGCAGTTGGAGTCCAGCAGCTGGAAACTGAGCCGCGTTTGTTGTTCTGTCCTCAGATTCTAAACTGGGCCCAGGAGAGATGAGGAACAGAAGGAGAGAAATTCATTATGATTCTTTCAAGACTTTTGGAACTGATTCTGCCTCAAAGTTGTTGTTTTTCTGTTTGTATGTTTAGATTTTCCTGCAGTTAGCTAACAGTGTGTTCTTCACATGGTTCTGCTTTAATTGGGTTTTTATTGTGGGTTTTGGACCAGACCTGTTATTATTGTCCCTGCCTGATAACAGACTACATGTGGAGTCAGACTGACTTTGGTTTTTTACTGTAGTTAAGCTTAATTTTAAGGTCTGACAAAGGTTGTTATAATAATATGAAACCCTTCAGTGTGTTTGAAAGGCTGTTCTTATCTACAGATTAAAATGGAGACTTAAAGCTGACGAACACATCTGTTGGACAGATTTGCTTTATTTACAACAGTGCCTTGCAAAAGCTTTCATTGCTGTTGGCCTAACAATCTGGACTTTATTTAAACTACAACAGATAATGCAGATTAATGAAGTTAAAGAGAGGAAAAAAGCTCCTAGTCTGGACTTTCTGTCCGTTCTTCATGTCCAAACATCTCTAGCTACATCAGGTTGGACAGGTGCTGCTTTTGTCCAACAAGCTTTATATTAAACCAGAAATTCTCAGTTGTACTGAGGTCTAGGCTTTGACTGGACCGCTCCAGGACATTTAACTGGTTATCCTAAGACCAGGGGCATGTTTCTTCAGGGGTGTCTTCTGGGCCTTTTTCCTGCTGGAAGATCTCAAATATCTGAAAGTCTCTAACAAGTTCCTTTCAAGAGTTTCTTTGTATTCTGCTCCATCTTTCCTTCAACTCTGAACAGTTTCTCAGTCGTTGCTGATGAAAAACATCTCAGCATGAAGCTGCCACCACACCGTACTTCACTGTAGGGATGGTGCTGTCAACATGAAGAGAGGTGATAGATTGACCTCAGACATGGTGTTATCCTCCATGTTTGGTCTCATCTTGGCAACAGCACCTTCTTCCACAAGTGGAGAGGAGAAAAATCAAACAGTTAAATGTTTTTCCTGCTGCTCTTCCATGAAGTCCATCTCTGGGCAGCTTCTAGTGGTCCTGTGGACTCATGGGCAGCTTCTAGTGGTCCTGTGGACTCATGGGCAGCTTCTAGTGGTCCTGTGAACTCAAAAACCTGCATGTTAGTCTGCCTTCAGGTCCAGACATCTCTTGCAAAAGAGATCTGTGATCTCAATGGGATTTGCCTGGTTACATAAAGGTTAAATAAACAAAATAAATGGGCAGCTTCTAGTGGTCCTGTGGACTCATGGGCAGCTTGTAGTGGTCCTGTGGACTCATGGGCAGCTTCTAGTGGTCCTCTGGACTCATGGGCAGCTTCTAG